TTTGGGCTGAGCACCAAGGCTGAAGTCAAGTGCCATTACATTCCTAATAAATGAATTATTTATTTCTAAAACAGCAGAAAGGTAGAAATGAGAGCTCTGTGAGTGTGGAGATTCACATCCATCTGAACCGCCATTAAATTAGGAGTTGGGGGGGTACTGTCATTTCTATTTCTGAAGAGCAGTGATGGCTAAAGAAAGAAATCAAAGGCAAAGTTAATTGGAAGTCAGCTAGATCTACTAACATTTACATCAATAATTTTGGATGCTCAGATTAGACAATTATTTAATATATTCTCTTTTGAGTTTATTTATTGAGTTTTTTCCACATACCAGACACTGTCTCATTGCTTTACAAAGATTAACTCCTTCAATTCTCACAACAATGCATGAGAAAGGCACTTGTTACTATTTACTTCACAAACAGAGAAATAAAATCAGAAAGAGGTGAAGTAACTGTTCAAAATCCACAGATAGGTAGTGGCAAAGCCAGGAAGCCAAGCCCAGGCCCTATTGACACCACCTCACAGCCTGGGTACCTCTGAGCTGAGGAGGATGGAAGTTTACCTCAGTCACTGAAAAATATCTTGGTTCACAAAACAAATCAAAATAATTATTAAATAATCTAATTAATTAAGTCAACTAAACATTTTCTTTTCTTCCTCCTCCTCCTTCTGTCTCCTTTTCCCTCTCCTCCCCACTGCTCTGACTTTTATCAGAATACATCTTTAGACTTTGGTTTCCTTTAATTTTAAAATGGGAATATCAATATCTGCTTTACAGGGTTGTTTTAGGGATTAAATCAGAAAATACACAAAAGCACTTAGCATAATTCCTGGTACATAGGCCTCAAAATGTTTCAGAATGAACCACATTACCATTGAGATAAACTGGGTGAAAGGTACATAGAATCTCCCTGTACTTTCTTTTTTTTTTTCTTTTTTTGCAGCTTCCTGTGAACTTGTAATTATTTCAAAATAAAAAGTTAAAAAATGTATTAGCTATCTGGTGCAGGAATTGTATTGTGCTAATACAATTGTGCTAATATTTTTCTTGCCAAATGAAGGAATCAAGGACCAGGAACAGGATTTCATTACAAAGAGATACACAAAAATATGAAGTTAGGATAGAAGCATTTTCTTCTTAGTTGTAGAACCATAGGGCAGCATTAGTGTGAAAGGACCTTAGAATCAAGGCATAGTTTAATTACCAAGCTTATCTGGGTTTGAGTCTGTGGTTTGCTTATGGTTTTTTTCCTGGTTCAACTTGACTCATCCATTCAGATTCAGAATAATAAGCATTTCCTCAGCACATACTCTATGTACTGCCAACAACATTGGGGTAGCCTCTTCCACATTACTTTGAATGTGATTGCAACTAATACTTTCTGCATTAAGAGAAAGGTAGAAACAAAATTAACACTGCCATTGTAATCCATTTAACCCTTACTATTTTTCATATCTGTTTTTTAAAAAATAAAATTAATATGCATGCAACAAATTGTATAGGATGATTTACCTGTGCTTAAACAACTAAACAATTACTCAGTGGAGAATCCTTTTGGCTCTACTAACTTGTCGCACAGTGAAAAAGCATTGAAGTACTTAACATGGTGGTGGACAAGAAACAGAGGATTTATTTTCCTTTATACTCAGTTTACAGTGGTGGTACTAACAGGATGCACTATTCTGCTCAGAAGAAGCCTATGCTAAGAAACTTGTGGCTGCAAGTGGGACAGAACGTGTATGTTCTGTTGCATTTTATGGGCCACCTTCAACTTCTGTAGATGGAGAAAGAACAGCCTGAAGAGGAATAACTGTGGATGGGACTCAGTTCTGCAGCTTTTTTCTTTTCTTTTCTTTTTTCCTTTCTTTTTTTTCTTTCATTCCTTCCTTCCTTCTCGGCCCCCACACTTCCTTTCCTTGTTCCCTTCCCTTCCCTTTCTTTTTCCAGGATGGTGTCAGAAAATGTATCATTAGCTGAAGTCAATGAAAAGGAATCCAGTGTTTTTGAAAAATAAAGCGAAGCTAAGAAAGGTCTAGAAAAGGTTAAGATTTCACATTTTGGAATGTCATCTTGACATGGAGCTTTAATAAGGGGCTAGAAGAAGTGTAGAATGGAAAGATGAGATAAATTTCACATATATATTTACTTTTATAAAATTTACCAAAAAATATATAGAGGGTTTAGATAAGAGGCTGGCAATAAATTTTTTATAAATGGAAAATATTTGTTCTTTTTACCTGGGGATGACAATGAGGTACATTTCATCAACCCGCCTCAAAAAAATAAACGAAAAACCACCAAGGTAAATAAACGTTAACAATTTGTTTAAAAAGCAGTTTTACCATAGTTCTTCATTTTCAGATTGATTAAATTTTTATTATTCAAAACAATAACTGATAATATGCTTTTTATGTACTTTCAGCTTCAGGAATGATCATTCTGAAGAAAAAAGTGAATGGCCCCCTTACCAATATAAATATTAATAAATGGGCTAGCATCAAGCAATGCCAGGTAGGTTTTGTTCATAGCAATAATTTTTCCATGATATTTATTATTTTGTGTTTAAAGAACAAATTAATTTCCAAGTTTTCTTGGCTATTAATGAAAATTTTCACTGTCATTTGAGAGGACTTATTCTAAAAATTCAGGCCTTACTAGACACATAGCTGGATAATACTTTTTTAAAAGTTGACTTGTGACACTCCCTCTATTTTACAGATTTCAGAGGCAGACAGGTTAAGAAGTCAGACATTGTGCTGTAGTCTGACCACTAGGCAACACCTAGCCTCTGGTACATCCACAGGCTATACTGCAAGTGAAATGGGAGTAAGGTTACATAGAATAATGATTGCTATTGTTTGTTTATATATCATTTTTTATAATGAGGGAACAGAGAGTATTTCATAGAGTAAATACTGGTTTAAACACCATTGATCTTATTTTTGAGAAAGGAGTAAGGAGGGAAAGAAAAATCAAATGTAAAAGATGTGTATTCATGCTGAACTGTGAATGAAGATACCCTCACTTAAATGTCTAAAAACAATACTGTCTAAAGGAATCTACTGAGATGTTTAATGCAGATAAGATGATAACCAAATTGCGTAACTCTTAAACAATATGTACACAGCTATACAGGACCTCCTTCTTTGCTGCCTTCCCATAGAATAGAGAGAGAAAATTTACTGAGAGCTAGCTACCAAAGGCAGTTAGTCATTCCATAACCCAGGCTAGCACTTGGTACCTAACCTCTATTTATTTTATCATGATCACTGAGAATTATACTGGGTACATCGTTTAGACAGTTTTTGTCTTTGTATGTAGCTGAAGAATAGCTGGCATTCTAAATTTTGTGTTGTTTAGAGATTATCAGCTAGTGTTAAGAGCCAAATCCTCTTCCCTCCTCCTTCCACCCAGAACTGCTAAAGTGGTAGGGGTCAACAAGTATTACAGCAGGGCAAAGCTGTCACAGATTGAGTCAATTGGGACTGGTTTCTGTTGATAGTTCGTGAATTTCTAACTCCTTGTTATTTTGATAGTTGGTGTCAGTTAAATTCATATAGAGGCATTCTGCAAGGGAAGAAGAGGGATATATGACAGTTTAGACGTTAGTTTTAATTATTCTATATTTGAGAAAATAAGACATACTCCTGTAATATAGATTGTATTCCAATTTTTCTTACTCTCAGAAGTTTAATACTTACTGTACAGTGTGTTCCATGTCTAACAGGGAAGTTTTTTATTACAGGGAATTATGAATTTCAAGGGATTTGATTCTTTAGACCAATCCTTCCTTGGTTAAGACCACATGCAGAAAGGAAGAACAAGCTGATTAACGATTTAGAATTCCCCCTCCTCCCCAAGAAGACTAGACCCCCAAAGTAACATCAGTTAAACAAGTTTTTGTTTTGTTCTCCACTTCACATTATCACTTTAGAGGTTTTGGGTAGAATTGGAGGTAGAGATAGGACAGTGTGAAATGAAGTAAAAAGATAAGTTTAGCTCCTACTTTGTACTTGGGAGCTTGAGCTAATCACACACATGTGAAAAAAGGGGGGATCTGTAATACAGAATTCAGTTGAGCACCTCCAGGGCTACCAAATTTAAACTAATTATTTAAAGGGAAAAACCCTAATCATAGGTACCCTCCATCAAACACCTCCTAGATATCAAATACTGTGCTAGTGCTAGGTTCCTTACATTCTTCATTAATTCTGAAAATCCCAAGAGGCAGTTACCATACTTCATTTCACAAACGGGTCACCTGCCTACTAAGTAAAAGGCAGTATTTAGACATGAACCCAGGCCTGCCAACGCACTTGCTGGAGTATTTCTGCTTTGTCAGTTCAGGATTAGAAGGGCATAGGTGTAATAACCTGGGTCTAAGACTTAAAGATGCTAGGTGTGAAGCCGCTTGAACAAGGATGATTTTGTCACTCCAAGACCAGGCAGCCGGGCCCTGGGCTTTGTTACCAGCCACTTCGCACCGGTCCCGGGCGCGTGGGGAGGCGGTGCTTCCTCCACCCGGAGGGTGGAACCCTCGGCCTCCGCCAGGCCTCGAATCGCCGCCGACGTACGTGCAGCCCTGGGGAGGGGGCGAGGGACAACGAACGGCGCGCCCGCGAAGGGCTGCGGCCGACGAGGTGGTGGGCGAGGCCGGTGACCCAATAAAGCGAGTGGGGCCGCAGGCGGCCCTGCCCGGCTCCGTTTCCCGGCACAAGCCGTAGGGTCCCGGGCCGGCGGCAGCTTGCGCGTCTCTGTCCGCTGCTCTCGGCTTGAGGGAGCCTCTGGCCGAGGGTGTGAGCGCGCGCCGCCGGGCCGGGAGCGAGGGAGGCGGGAGGAGAGAGCGCCAGCCGCCCCGGGGCCGTACACAGCGGACAGGCGAGGCGGGGCAAGGCCAGGGGCCCACGGCGCCCGCCCTTCCCCGGCGTCCCGGAGCCACTCCGCCCGCGGCCCAGTCCCGAGCCCTCGGCCCGCCCTGCGCGCGCGCGCGCGCGCGCGCCACCGCCGTCCCGTCCCTCCTTCTCGCTGCCCCTCCCGCGCGCGTCCACCGGCTCCCCGGCTCGCGCCGCTCCATGTAGCCCCGGATCCCCGGGAGACCGAGGAGGAGGGGGTGACCACAAGATGGCGGGTACGTGGCCCCCTGTTCTCCGGGAGGCGCGGCGGCGGCGCCTCCCCGCGTCCGCCCGTCAGCCCCGTGTGGGGCCGAGGCCGGCGCGGGGTCCCTGCGCGGGGAGGCGCCGCGGGGCCGGGAGGGAAAGAGGAAGGGTGGGTGGCAGCGGCGGAGCGGCGGGTCGCGGGGGCGCTGACCGGGCCTTTTCTTTTCTCCCCTCGACGCAGATCTCTCGCTGCTTCAAGAGGACCTGCAGGAGGACGCGGACGGATGTGAGTGCGCCCGCCCTGCTGTCGCTGTCGTTGGCAGCCTGCGGAGAGCGGCCGGGAAGGGAGAGAAGGAGGGCGGGCGGCAGCGGCCTGGGCCCGGCCCGGCGTGGGGACCGGCTCGGCGAGGCGTGGCCCTGGGCCGGCTAAGGTTGTGGTTTTGAGGGAATATTGAACTTTCTGGAGGAAACGGTGTGTCCCGCTTCCGCTGGTGGAGAGAGATGCCCTGTGTAATGCTTCGATTTGGGTTCTGCCCCATCGCCCACCCATCTAACCACCGCCAAATCTCCTGTGGGCTTGAGAACCGCCCAGCCGTCCGTTTTGGTAGAAAAAACTTGCAAGCAGAAATTTGATTTAGGAATTTGGGGTGTGTTTATCTCCTTTGAGTGTCTTCCGGGGGCCTTCCCCCTCCCTTCAACCCTCCTGGGGAAGGAAGAAGCTATAAGGAAGGAAGGTGTTTTTTCTTCTAGTAGCTTTCAAGTGTTCCACAGCGGCCAGCTGTAGGGCAGCTTGGTCCCTGCTAGCCGCCTCGGTTCATTTGCTCCGCTTCTGATTATATGGAGATTACTTACCTGTAATTTCACTTGAGCTCTTAGCAGTTTTTACATTGCTCCATGCTCATTTTACTGGTGGATTACGGGAAGGTTAGAAGGTGTGGCCTTGGCAGGAATTACTAAATCTGGAGAACGTATTTCTTTAATGCAAATGTTCACAAATTACCCAGACCTCCTTAAATATTACAATTTTAGCTTCTTTTTTTTTTTTTGAGACGTTGAAGTTTTAAAAGAGTTGATACTTTTGTATGAGCAAAAACTTTGACATTGTTTCCAAAATAAAAAGGAATTGTTCACTTCGTATGTGCTCTTCTAGCTCCAGAACGTAATTTGGAAATTGTTCTGAGTTGAAATGATAATCATGGTAGAGTTTCTGGTGTATTTAGGGGGAAGCCTGCCTGATGCTGAGATTTACTGTGACTTATACCTATATAAGTAATTCAGAGATGGCTACAGTTTGAAATTGCTCTTTTAAATACTGTGTAATTAATTCTTAGTACTGTCTATTTTGGTTTCCCTTGCCCAAATTAAGCTTAATTTTTAAATTCCTGGGTGCTTTGAGTGAAATAAAGGAAATTTACTATTTAGAAGTATTCTATAAAAAGTAGTTATTTTGAAAGTAATTTAAACATATGCAAACTTTTAAGTGTGGGGATTTTTTTTTTTAAGTAAAAAGTTCTTTTAAAGGGAGTACTCATGTAGTGAAGGACAGCTTGTACATTTCATTTACTGCTTTACCTTAGTCCACTAATCTGCCTACTGGTAAGTTTAGAATGTTATTTTGGGCAGCTATTCATTTCTTGCAAAGTTACCTTTAGAAAGGTGTCTGTTTTCTCAAAACAGGCTTCTCATTCTTTTATTTTGTTTCAAGTCTTTATGAATAGAAGATATATTCATTCAGCAGGTGTTTAGGAATATCTGGAGCAAGAATTTGTTTGTATTAATTTGTATTCACTTAGGTGCCATGCGCTCTTAAAGGATGAGCTGCAGTATTACTTTTGTTGTTTCTGACCCTTAAGGGACCATAGTCTAGAGGGGAAAGCATATCTGTGCAGAACCCAACAATGATTTATTCATGAGTCTCAAGACTTCTGCTCCATACTGAGGATATAGTTGTGCAAAGGATAATCACAATCCATGCCCTCTAGTGGTTTATAAGCAATTTTAATGTTAAGTGTGATAGTGAAGGTATCAGAGGCATTATAGAACAATAGTTAATAGACAGGACTCTAGAGCTAGATTGTTTTGTTTCAATCTTGGCATTGTCACTTTGGACAGGCTCCTGTAACTCAACCTGTCTATGCCAATGATTTGTTATTTGTAAATGGGTATATAAAAATTATGTACCTTATTGAATTCAGAGCCTTATGTAAATTAATGCATGAAAAGCACTTAGAACAGCAGCTGGTAAATAGTGACTATTATGTGTTTGTTGTTTTCCTGAGTAAAGTATAAGGGAAGCTTGAAAGAAAGAGCAGAGCCCTGGCCGGGTGGCTTATTTGGTTGGATCATTGTCCCCATGCGCCAAGGTTGTAGATTCCATCCCTGGTCAGGGCACATACAGGAAGCAACTGATGGGTGCATGGATAAGTGGAGCAATGGGTAGATGTTTCTCTTTCTCTCTAAAAATATATATATATATATATATATATTTATATATATCAATAAAAAGTTTAAAATAATGAAAGAAAAAGCAGAGAAGGAGATACTGATGTTGAGCCTTGCACTCCAGAATTACTATATATTTATAAATGGTTCTGATGCTTGCAATTAACTTTTTATAGATGCTGTTCCCATTTTGTTTTAATTTAGGATAAAAGACATTTGAAGGCACAAATAGTTTATTTGCATATCCATAATTTGTTGAAGACTTCATTAGAATAATTGTTTATTTTTCTTAGTTGTTTTTACAGGCAATAGTTTTTGTAGATGGTACTGTCACCCCCTGGGAAACTTTCCCCTTATCCCTTTAGTTCTTCTAGCTGGTCAAATAAGTGAAACAACATACAGCAGATTAACAAGAGAAAATCAAATTTTATTACATGCACATAGGTAATTTACATAAACAGAAAAATTCCAAAGACAATGAGGCTAAATCAGGTATAGATGTCATTTTGGAGGAAGATGGCGGGGGGGGGGGGAGGGGTGCGGGGGGGGGAATAGGGACACATCTGGATTTCTAAAGGGAAACAGGCAACTCACAGGTTAGCTGAGAAAGTGGGAAACACATTCTTGTTACCTATCAGAAACAATGGGACAGAGAGGAAGTTAGGGTACAGATTTTTTTTTCATGGATCCTTCCTGTATACCACTGGTAATTCTTATGTGCTCAAGTGAATGTGTTGTGGTGGCTATCCTAAGGTTCCCTTCCTGAAGCAGGTTTTTCTATTGAATCACTTTAAGAAGGAAAGAGAGAGATTAAAAAAACAAAAACAAAAAACCACTTTCTGAGTTTGTTGGGCTTTAGTTGTTCACAGCTTGAAATAATCTGCGTGCCAAGGTGGCATATCCCAAGGATAGCTCCCTACTCTGACAACGCTTTTACCCAGAATACTCAGAAACAAGGATCTTTGAACTTATGGCCATTTGAAGAATCACTTGCCTTCATTTGCCCATGATGCCTGGTCGAGGGCAAGATGTTTGGTAAGGGAATGAAAAAGTGTAACACCCTGGAGAAGCTGAAGAAGGTAGAGAACCAGAGATGTCAGCAAGAATGGACCTTAGGCCCCCCTTAGATCTGGACTGTATATTATGAGCCCAATTTTCTGTCTCAGGCAACACTGGTATGAAGGCTAGTCTCCAGGATAGTTGTGCACCCAGTCCGGCCACTTCATCCAAGCTAGGTTGAAGCTGGCCTTGGAGATGGAAGGAAATTAATTACTTTCTAGCCAAGCTTTGGAATCTCGATTGTTTTTCCTAAATGCAGAACCTAGACTAAGGCAGAATAGAGCGTAAATGCTATTGTACAGGTAATCCGCAGCTGTGGAGACTAAGAGCACCTGGTTAGGGTCTAGATCTTGGAAGCGGGGGATTGCCAGATCTTGGAAAGAGTCTTCAGTTCTTTTGTTTTGATTTGTTTTATTTTAAGCCTTAAAGTCTATGTGTAGAGCAGTAAAATAGGAGAAGGGGTTGGTCAAAAACTGACTTGACTGATACTCCTGGGAGAAAAAGAAACAAAATCATAGCATGTAAAAAATGGTGCATTGTACCAGGTGGGGCAAAAGTAGGTTTATAGTTATGAGTATGTGAAACACAGTTTATTCTTGTGTTATTATTTATTAACTATTATTTTCCATATGAACAACTGTGAACCTACTTTAGCCCAATCCTGTATATACATATCAAAAGATCATAAAGGTAAGTAAATAAAATCATTATTAGGTACTATTAAAATTAACTTTAAGAAAATAATGCAATGAAAAAACATGTTGGTTTTAGTTTTAATGTGATACTAGATCATGAAACACTTTGAATTTCAAAGTGAAAACAAGCTAGTGATTCCATATGAATAGGTGACTTCAGAGTTGGGTAAACACTTTCTTTTCCTTAAAAAATGGGAAGCAGTGCAAAAAGGACAAATAGACTTTAAGAGAAAGATACTTCAAATTTCTATTGTCAGTTTTCCAAAGGCTCAATTTTGATTTACATTTAAGTTGCTAGACTTATAAAAGATGTAAGATAGCTAAAGATACACAGTAAGATTTGATGAGTTAATGCTTGTAAAAATAATTTCACCAAAGAAGTTTGATTAAAATTCACATTTTTACAAAAAGAATAGATTGAAGAATATTTTAAAAGAATGATTATATAACACTTAATAGTTTGTAGCAGCGTTCATAAAGAGGTGGTTCTTCATAGTGGCCCTACGATATGTAGGCTGTGGTATTCTGATACTAATAAATAAGTCAGCTGACACACAAAGTGACTAAATTATTTTCTCAGAGAAAACCCCTAAGTACCAGCCAGAATTTTAAGCTAGGCCTCCTGATTCTCAATTTTGTATTTTAAATATTGTCTCTTCTTAAATTGCCCAGTTTATGACATTGAGCAGCCCAAGTTTCTTGTATAGGCAATTTATTTGAACCCTGCTTAAAATACCCTTGAAGATTAGTATGCTACATATGGTTTAATTTATTCTAGAGATAATTAGAATGGAGTTTAGATATAATGTAGCTTATTTAATTTTTATGTTAACTTTTCTTTCAGCCAAACTAGCATTATGTTAAAGAATTTTTGGAGCTATATTATGGAGTATGCCATACCACAGAAGTTTTGGAATCCTTTTACATGGATCCAGAACTAATTGGGTGTAACTGCCTAACCTGCACTCCTTTCAAGGTGTCTCTGGGCTCTCTAACTACTTTTAAAAACTAAAACTGGTTTTCATAAACTTTTGTAAGTTCTTGCCACCTGGAGAAGTTCCAGCTAGGGAGGGAATCAGTGAAAAACCAT